ACCCTGGTGCTTGGTAGGGAGGATGGAGGGGAGTGGAGGCAAAGGATGGCTTCAGGGAGAGAAAATTACCAGATCACTTGACACCGATATAGCATCTTTTGGATTGTGAATTTGAAAAACATCAGATCAGATCTGTTTCCCTCTGTCTGCCACACTGCCCCAAAGCTCTAGCTCTCCCTTCTTTCTGCCCCTGCTGGGTTGTGTGGGGGCTATGTTCTTTTTCATTTCTTTCTTTTAATGGCAGAGGGTAGGGGCAGAGACAGAGATGTTCCATATTTCCACCCACTCCACTGATACAGTCTGGTGCCCAGAACCCTAAGCAGGGAAGTAGAATATAGAGTAAACCACTCGCTTCCCAGAGCCACTAATCTCCCCAGTTACTTGCAGCACCATGGTCAGGTCATTACTGCCCAGCCTAGGCTCAAAGACAATAGGTACGGAGGCTTGATGGCCAGGATTTCTCGAAGGAATGGGCTTGATAGAACACCAGGAGGATGGCAACACAAATGAAACTGATCTATCACCAAGACATAGACTAACAGAACAGCAAGGAACCTCAGGGGCCATGTGATCCAACCCATACCGGAACAATAATTCCCCCTACAAGATACCTGACAAATGGTCACTCAGTCAACCCATTCCACCAATGGACAGCTCTAATGATTAGACAATTTTCCCAATATCAAGTCCATATTTTCTTCTCTGGAATGTCCACTCATTCTCCCATTGACAGAGAGAGTGCACTCCTATTTCTACATACTGGCGCCAAACATACCCAATTCTTCTTCTCTGTGACATCCCTACAAATACTTGAAAACAACTATTGTATTCCTCCTAAGTCTTCTCTGCTCCAGGCTGAACATCGTCAGTTCCTTTGACCAATCCTACTTGGGCATATTCTCTAGTCTACTGACCGCACTAATTACCCTCCTCTGGATACACTAGGTTGTAAATATCCTTCCTACAATTTGGGGTCCAGAACTGACTACAATTCTGTAGTTGTGGTCCAACCAAGGCAGAGTGTAAGAGAGTCACTTCTTTAGTCCTGGTTTGGATTTTCTTAAAGCAGCCTAAGATCACAATAACTTTTTTTGGGGGGTGGGGCTCTGTCACACCATTGATTCATACTGCCCTTGCAACAGTTTTTCTCTCCAAACCTTTTCTCACAGGAACTGTTTTCTAGACATGCCTTGCTTCCCCATCCTTCCTCACTAGAGGTCTTCAAACAAATGAAGGAAAAAAAGCATTTATTAAACACCTACTATATGCCAGGCCTGTGCTAAGTATTTTACAAATATCTCATTTGATCCTCAAAATTATCCTGGGAGGTAGGTGTTATTATCAATCCCATTTTATAGATGGGGAAAATGAGGAAGGCAGAGGTTGTGACTTGCCCAGGGTCACAGAACTAGTAAGTGTCTGAGATTGGATTTAAACTCAGGTCTTCTTGACTCTAGGTTCAGTATTCTATGCATTGCACCAACTAGCTACTTCCAAAGGTGAATCAACACTTGTGAGATATGATATAAAAAGGATTCTTGCTTAAGAATGGACTGGATGTCTCTGAGGTTACTTCCAACATTGAGGTTGTCTGATTCTGTGATCTTATACTTGAGAAATTCCTGAGCTTGGTTCTGTGTATCTAGAAGGGGAGAGAGAACCATATGAAACATCCTGGGTCCCCTTCTTTCTCTGTACTCTCTGGGTAATCTCGACAGCTTCCATAGTTTCAATTATCATCTCTATGCAGATGCCTCTCAAATCTATGTATCTATCCTTCATCACTCACTTGAGTTTCCTAATGGACATCTCCACCTCAATATTTCCGTGGGGATCTCAAATTCATCATGTCCAGAACAGAATACATTATCTTTCCCTCTCAACTCTTAACTTCTCTGCTTTTGTAAAGGACACCACCATCCTCTGTGCCTAGGTTTATAACCTAGAAATCATCCATGACTCTTTACTCTCCCTCATTGTTGCTTCAAGACCTCAGTGTTATCCTTACTTCTCACTCACACTCACCCTCTGTATCCAATCTGTGGCCAAGTCTTGCTGCCTCTGTCTAGCCATCTCTCATAAACGGTCCCTTCTCTTTTTTGATATTGCCACCACTCTGGAACATCACCTTCACAACCTGCTCCCTTCCCATCTTTCTAGTCTTGCTACCACTTTATTCTCTCCACATGGTCTATAATCTGGCAACACCAGACTTTCTGTTGTTCTTGTTCATACTTCACATGTCACTCTTTACCTTGTTACTGGCTATTCCCATGCCTAATATGCTCACTCTCCTCTTCTCTGTCTCCTGCCTTCTTTCAAAACTCAACTTAAATCACATCATCTGTTGGAGGCCTTTCCAACTCTCCACCCCTGCTAACGTCTTTCCTCTGCAGATTGCTGACTGCTACTCTACATACTACTTGTATATAACAAAAGGCAAGCTGTTCAGTTGTTTCAGTCGTGTCCGACTCTTTATGACCCTGTTTTGGGGGTCTCTTGGTAAAGATACTGGAATGGTTTGCCATTTCCTTCTCCAGCTCATTTTTTAGATAAGGAAACTGAGGCAAACAGGGTTAAGTGAGTTGCCCAGGGTCACAGAGCTAGTCAGTGTGTTAGGCTCGATATGAACTCAGGTCTTCCTGACTCCGGGCCCAGAGCTCTATCCATTGTGCCTTTTGTATTTATATAGTTGTTTTATGTCATTTTCATTAGAATGTCAGCTCCTTGAGGGCAGGGGCTATTTAAAAATTTTTTCTGTGTATCCCCAGCACTTAGCATAGTGCCTGGCACATAGAATGTGCTTAATAAATATTTTCCAGCCAACAGACCACACCCCCTCTCTATAATCAGTTGCCGAGTTTTTTCAATTCCACTTCTGAAACATCTCTATTCTTCTTCTTCTCTCCACTCATACCCGAACTACCCCAGTTCAGGTCCTCATCAAGTCTCATCTGGGCTATTGCAGCACCTCCTAAATGGTATCCCTGCATTCAGCCTCTCTCCCTCTTCAATCCAATCTCCACATAGCTGTCAAATTGATACTCCTAAAGCACAGGTTAGAGGAGAAAGTCTCAGGGCCAAAGGCAAAGGTGCCCTGGCTTGATTCCAAGGAGCCCAAATCCCCAGGAAGCTAATATGGGTGCACCACAAAGTCTAATGCCCACAGCTACATCCTCCATTTCATCTTTCTGAAGTTTCCACTTGAGCAGCCCATGCACTGGTGCTCATCTCTCTCCTTCCTTAGAAAGTGGTAGCTCTTTCCTTTTTCTAGTACCAGTCTGGGAGACTGACAGGCCTGGGAAGCTGCAGAGAGAACTGCCAGGACCCATCATTCTAGCTCAATTGATGTGTCCCCCCAACCCCTCTGGGACACCCTGGTTACATGGAGTCTACATTTGCTTAAAACCCACCTGGCCCTGCAGAAATATCACTCTGGGGGCAAATCCAGTTAACCAGTAGGAATTAAAAGCTAGGGAAGGGAGGGGGGTTATGTACTTTAGGCTTCAATGCTACCGAAGAGTGATGGGGTGGGGCAGGGCCAAGGATAGATGCACTTCATTTCTATTGAGATGTTCGGAGTAGAAATTAAACCAAACTTCACACACACACACACACAATCTCTTAGCTCTCTGTTCTGCAAAGGTACTCACATGCCCCACTTCAGGCAATCCTTTGCCCTTCAAGTCAGTTCTTCTGCCTGCCTCCTCCCTCCCCCTTCTGTATCCCTCTACATCTCTGGTCCCAGAAGCCCTGGAGATAGGGGAGAGGGAGGGTTCAACCCACATATCATACCAAGATACAGTTCTGTCTGGGCAATTTGCCCTGGGGCAGTTCCTACCAAGGGGATAGTGAATAAGGATGCCCTGCTTCACACTCCTAAGGTCTGTCCCAACTGGCCATATACTTATCAGTCTAAATAAGACCCACAAAACTCCTTGGACTCCAGCCTGGAGGAGGAAAGGCAATAGCTCATGTTCTGGGAAGGGGTGAATTGACTCTTCCAGGGCCTTACATATCTTTAAAGTGGGGGTTTCCTTTGTACACTGAAGGGATACTCCCGAACCCTGTCAGTAGGGCATTGTCAGCTACAATGAGAGCTAAAAGGAACCTTATAGGTCATTCATTCCACCTCTCCCCCATCTCACACATGGGAAACTGAGGCCCAGAGGGAAAGTCACTTGCACAAAGTCATATGGATAATAAATGGCTGAGCTGAGATTCAAACTCGATTCCCTGATTCTGAACCTAGCGCTCTTTCCTCTTCACCTTATAGGAGGTGAACTGTATTTCTGGTATTATGAATGGAGCACATTAAGCCACCAACTTTTTTTTTTTTTGCATGGTGTCCCCTGTGATCAATAGCACACGTGTGTAAGACACTGACCAGGGATGAGGGTGGGTTAGGGGTAGGTCAGTCTGTGGCTCTGGGGACATGGGGTGGTCAGTTTGGGGCCAGGCAATAGTTTCCTCTCTCTGTGTTAGAATATAATCAACTCCTTGGATGAATAAGGTTGTAACCTTGGCCTCATTGGTGCTGGATTGTAATCATTGGCCAATGGGGCCCTGAAAGAGCTCACCCCAATGCGAATACAAGATTGCTTCCTCTGAGATCTGGCTAATGGGACACGGGTATAATTGTGATGAACAGCTCTTTTAGGGTTCAGGATTCTCTGAAAATAAGAGACCACTTCCCTCTCCCCTTCTCCCCCCACCCCAGGAATGAAGGCTTTTTTGAGAAAGGAGACTTGGTAGGAGACATTTATGCTAATTGTGGCTTAGAAGCCACCTCTGTCAAAATTTGTAACAATTTGCACACACTCTCTTGATATTGAGTTAAACTGAAGAGCAAAAAGAAATTTAACAGAAAAAATGTTGAGATGACTTTCCTGATGAGAACCCCTTCCTTCCACCTTGGCCCTTGGGCCCTCTCCAGTCACAGCCTAGCCCTCCAACATGCTCTTCTCCCCCTCCCCCCACCCCTGACCACCCATCCTTACCTCTCTCAGCTCTTTGGCCACCTCCTTGAGCTCCTGCAGGATGCCCTCCAGCTGCCCGATGACCATTTTCATTCGCCTTCGGATTCGTTCTCTCTCACTACCACCACTGCCACCACCACCACCACCACTGGGGTTGTCACTGGCCTGCCCGTGGTCCTGGGCACTCCGGATGTTCATGCTTCACCACGCTGCCACGGGCCTGTCCATGCTGCTCTCCCTGGGCCTCACACTGCCACTGCCTCCTTGGAGCCCCTCTCGGCCAGGGAGATCTCCACATCTTTAAGGCACCCCCCCCCAGCTGCCCCAGCCCCAGCCCACACCCACCTGATCTCAGCCCAGGTACCTGTCCCTCCGCTCTTTCTCCTCTTCCTTCTTTGATCTGGTGACTGTTCACCTGATGGGGCAGAGACTCCCAGAAGGAGGGGAATGAGGTCAGGAGACTGCTCAGTAGGGGCAGAGTTCGGTGGAGAGAGGGGCAAAAGAAGGGGTTAAAAGTTTCAGCTTTGCAGCCCTCAGGACTCAGCTGAGAGCTAAATAGAACTAGAACCCTGGTGCTAGGGCTCAGGGATCTGTGTGTCTTCGGGATGAATTCTGTCGTCCACTTGCTGAAGTGGTACTCCCCCCTCCCTGGTTCAGATGGATGGCTGCCAGAGATGGGGATGGGGAATGGTTCCTGGGGGATGAGGGAATAGGTCGTCTTCTGTGATGTCCTTGGGGCCTGTGATGTATGGGAGGGGGTGACAACCACAGCCCCCCCCCCAAACTCCTAGTCTGTCTTAGATTGGAAGTAGAAGAGGGGAGAAACACAGAATGTCAGGACCCAGGATTCCAGATGCAGCAGGGCCTACCCTTCATTCTCCACACTGTTTTTAACAAGTAGGGTTTTCCAGAGGAAGGCAGAGATGTGGGTTGCTCTGGAGTGGAAGAGGAGATCTCTTTGCACCAGCGCAAAAAATAGGCAGGAGTTCTGTGGGCTTTCTGAAACTCCTCTTTCCCTCAACCTGTCCCCTTTGCTGGTTTGTCTTGGAAGGAGAGGGGAGGATTGGGGAAAAGGGTATAAAACTCTACTGCAAGCGACAGCAGGAGAGGGGACCAATGCTTCACAGGCTCAGAGGAAGAAGCTGGAGAGAGACATCCTACTGAACCCCTCACCTAGGCCTGGGGCCTAAGGAAGTTCCCCCTCAATTTTCAAATAGGCTGCCCTTCCGCTCTTCTCCACCTCCCTCCAAGATGAGTTTGCCCCTCCCAAATCCCTTTTCTAGTAGACTCTCCCCACCACCTTTTAGGCTCTCCTTCCTGGGGTGGTCGGGGGAGGAGGTCCCAAAGAGGACAGCCCTAACTCAGGGCCTGTCCCAGCTCCCCCTCCCCCCAGGACTCACCAGCCAGGTTAGGGCGGCGCCAGAGCTGCCCTCAAAGTCAGGGTATGGGATGGGCCCGGAGCCCACTTCTGGCCACTGGCTGGAGGATTGGTGGAGGGGGATGGGAGAGAGAGGTCGAGGCTCCCTAGCCAGGGTGGGTGTTCAAATTGAGAGGAACTGCCCAGACGAATCTCCGAGTTTCTCTAAGCAGTGGGCAACATCTGGCGCAGCTGGAAGGGGGAAGGGACGAAGAATTCCGTTCTCCAAGGAAGGAGAGAAAAAAAACAAACAAAAATACCCCAGCTTTCAAATCCGGTCTAGGGCTGGGAATGAGTCTCCCGGCCCCTGCCTTTCAAGGCCCGGGAAAAACAAATCCCTTTAACGATCATCCCCTGCCCCAAACTGGAGCATTGGGTCCGGACATAGACTCAGGCGCGGGCAGCAGAGGGAGAAGAAGCGCGGGGCAAGTGGCGGGGCTGCTGGTGCCCGCAGGGAGTCAGCGGGAGCGCGGACCGCGACGCGGGGCCGGGGCGCGAGGCCACAGGTGACCCGGACATTTCCGGCAGGGAACGGCAGGGGCGGCGGGGCCGGCGGGAAGCCCGGCAAGCGGCAGGCCTGTCCGGGGCGAGGAGAGCCAAAGTCAGCAGGGAGAGAGCCTCTGGCGCCGCGCGGGATCCGAAACCCGATGAGAGGAATGGGCAGCCGCCGGGGATCAGGAGAGGCCAGCTCCGGAAGCTCGGTCCGGGACCGTCGGCCGGCAGCCGGGTTGGGCGATCGGGGGCGCTCCCTGCGCCGCGGTGGGGCGGGGGAGCTGGGGGTCGCCGCTGTGTCCCATCCCCCTTCGGATCCGGCTGCACAGCGCCACACAGCTCCTTGGCACCAGTGGGGCGCGGGTTCCTAGTCCTCTTCCTCCCCGGGGCCGTCCGCGTCCTCCTCCTCCCGCCGGGCTCAGCGGGCTGCGGGGCTCGGGTTGGGGGCGGGGAGGGGGTGGGAGCGAGCCTGGACCCGGGCGGGGGGGGGGGTGGGGGGACGCACCCCGGCGCGCGCACACACACACACACACACACACAGTCAGCACACACACTCACACACAATCAACACATACACAGATCACAAACACGCGCGCACCCGAACACGCTCACGCGGACACACACACACACACACACACACACGCACACAGAGCACCCTGCGCTGCGCTGCTCCGGGGGCCCCGAGGGGAGCCCAGCGGAGGAAGGCGCCCCTCTGGGGCTCTGTAGCCTCCTCTTGGGGTTTTAACTCCTCAACACCCTTAGGTTGTCAGCAGAGCCTAGCTGGGCAGCTCTGGATGCCTGGGTTCCCAGCCCATCCGCAAGGGAAGCCAGCCATGGGGCTGCGGGAACGGGAACTCGCTCCTCCTTCCACAGGAACGGCGTGCAGTGCCTTTCCAGATCCAGAGAAGGAAGAGGAGGAGGAGGATGATGATGAGTAGAGCAGAATGGGTCCTCTCCAGGCACCTCGGGGCCTCTCGGTCCGCGGGCCGCTATCTTCCCTGTTCCCTGATTCTGGGGGGACGGGCACGGAACCGCGGTGCCAGGGAGCCGGCTTGGCAGGCGGGCGGGCAGGTAGCTCTGCCTCCTGCTAGACTGGCGGCGCTGGGCGATGGCTCAGCTAAAGGCAGCCCAGCCTCTCTGCACTGTCAGAGAAGGGGGCCGGGCCGAGCGGAGCGGGGAGCCTTTAAAGCGACACACACTGCTTCTGACCCCCGGTTTCCTCCCCACCAGGCGGGCGGCGGGTGAGAGCAAGGGAGGATTCTTGGCCCTTGTAGCCAATCTGATAAAATGATTGGAGAAGTAGTCTTAATGGCATCTGTCCTCTCTCTTGCAGGTAACTGTCTGAATTTTAACTGGGGACTTTTGGAGATATTGCCCAAAGGAAGGAATCTTCAATGGTGGAATTTTAGACGTGCTAGTAAAATGGTAGGGGGTTTTGCATAAGCGTATTCTTCATGCTGCCCACAATCACACCAATTTGGAAGCAACAACCAGATGTCACAATTCCTGACAGTGAGAACTTGCTACAGTAGGAATTGGTAACCACATTAGGTGGTGGGATATAGACTATAACTTTCTGAAGAGCAGTATGATATTTTCTTTAATTTTTGGAGAGGCACGGTGGCCTGGTGGATAGAGAACTGATCATGGTGCTAGGAAGGCCTGAGTTATGTAGTTCTCCCTTCCGTCAGATACTGACCAGTAAGAACCAGGAGTTCTTACTGTATATGTGTGTGTGTGTGTGTGTGTGTGTGTGTGTGCGCATGTGTGTGTGTGTGTGAGAGAGAGAGAGAGAGAGAGAGAGACTGACTCTTCTGGAAGTCTGGTGAGGCCAATGGACCCTTTCTCAGAATAATGTTTTTAAATGCATAAGATGAACATAGGATTATAAAGGAACCCATTATAGTATAATGCAGTTATTAAAATATTTAAAACACAAGGTCATCACTGTGTTTTAACTTCTGGTTAAGGACTCCTGTAGATTAAGTCTATAAGCAGACAAAAGGTGCCAACCCCCATCAGCAAAAGGAGTTTATTTATCTGTGAATTCCCTATCTCTATGAAGTCCCTAGTTTATTTTTATCAAGTTATTTATATGTATTCAATTTACACGAATCAAAGGCTATGTCTATAGTGTCCTGGAAGCTCCATTAAGGCGGCACAGCCCAGTGCCCTGGGCATTTCATCAATTTTAGACTATTTCATTTTTTTGGGTATTCCCAGGCTCCAGCATGGTATCAGGGACCTAGAAGGCACAAAATAAACACTTGTTGTTGAATAAATGAATGGTGTTCATGCAAATGGGACGGGTCAGACCAAGGGGGAATGGCTTTCATTTCATCAAAAGTTTGTCCTCAGTGATCCAGCCTAGCTAATTTCAGAGGTTCCTCATCGGAAGATGTAGAGGGAGAAACAAATCCTGCATCCTGCATCCTGCATCCTGCATCCTCAGAACCCCTTCCTGGTGTTGTTCTGATATATTTCTGCTTTATTTTCAAGGCTCAGCTTGTGTGCCACCTCTTCTATGAGGCCTCTCTTGAGCACTCCTGTTGCTAATACATTCTTCTACTTCAATTCACCTCCTATTATATATACTTTTTTATAGATTAAGAACCCCTGCCTAGACCATCTTTAAGATTCCTTCAAACTCAAACTCTCATGATCCTATGATTTACTTGCTCTAAAGGCAGGGATTTTTTTTCCCACTAAGATGCACTGTTTCTATCCTCCTCTGGAAGCTCCTATTTAGGAAAATTGACCCCAAATTTAATGTATTTCCCCCCCATTAATACAATGGATTGGAGGCTTCTCTTAAGGGGAACATTCTCTATTTACCCATAGGCTGGCAACGCACTGGAATTGTTCCTTAATTTACTCTCTCTGGCACTTGGGTTGGTCTATTCAAGGTACCCAAGGCTGTTAGCTGTCAGAATGATGGAGGGACCTTAGAGTCTGTAAGATGATAGATTTAGAGCTAGCTTGGACATTTGAGGTCATTTCGCCTAACCCCTTCATTTTACAGATGAGCATATTCATGCCCATGGCTCTTAGGTGACTTGCCCAAGGTCACACAGATAGTGTACATCAGAGGTGGAATTTGAAACCAGGGCCCTTCAATTCTCCAACCAGTGTTCTTTCCATAGTACCTCCAAAACCAGGGAAGGGTTCTGTGTTTAATAGTTCTTAAGGACTCCATATCTCCAGGCTATATTCCTATCTGTTGTTTCCCATTTCTGTTATGAAGAAGTAGTCAGAACTATGATGAGTAGTTGTTCAGTCATTTTGTGATCCTATTTGGGGTTTCCTTGGCAAAGATACTGGAGCGGTTTGTTATTTCCTTCTGCAGCTCATTTTACAGTTGAGGAAACTGAGGCAAACAAGATGAAGTGACTTGCTCAGGGTCACCCAGCTGGTAAGTGTCTGAGGTCAGATTTGAACTCAAGAAGATGAGTCTTCCGAACTCCAGGCCAGTGCTCTATGCACTATGGCGCCACCTAGCGTCCATGGTGATTGGAGCAGTTGGCTAATTGTTAACCTTGGAAAGCGGGGGGTTTCTGGCACAGAAGATTCTAGGATTATAGGACCAGAAGGAACCTTAGAAGTCTCTAGTTCAATCCCCTCATTTTACAGTTGAGGAAACTGAGTCCCAGAGAAGTGAAGTGACTGCCTCAGGTTACGCAGGCAGTAAGTGTCAGAGGCAGGATGAGAGATGACCTAAAACAGAGCAGGCTTTGGAGGAAGTGGGGAAGCAGGGTGACAGAAAGCCTGGAGTGAGGTTAAGCAGTGGCTAAATGGGAATATAGAACAAAGAGAAGAAGCCCATAAAGGGAGTTGGGGAAAGAGCAACGGAGGAAGGGAGGTGGAACAAGAGAGCGCTAAGGTCTGACTCTGATCTGTACTCCCATCCCCTTAATGCGATAAGTCAACACGCAAGCACAGACTCATTTATCTTGGCTAAAAGGCGGGCAAGGAAGTACATAAAGGGCTCTCTGTGCTCCACCAGCCATCAATTCCAAACCCATGTCTCAGAGGAGGGAAGCTGCTTTCTGTAGTCATATAGGCTCATTCTGCCAGGAGGTGCCTGGAGGTCACCTAATGCACCCCTCTGATTCAAGGTAGACTAATGAAACTCATTTCAGGTGACCCACAGGCGAGGTGAAACATGAGAATAAGGAGGATGGTGAAGGGTCTAGAAATCGTGTCACATGAGGGCTACTTGAAAAGAACAAACTGGCTCCCATTTATACAGTTCTTTCCTTGTGACACCCTGGTGTGGAAGGCAGTGCCAGGATGGGATCAGGCAGTGCTGAGAATCCGGTAAGTACTGAAAATATGGTCGTGCTTGTTCAGACATGTCTTGTATTGGAAGGAATAGATTCAGAGAGGTGAATCATAGGAACAGAGTGATCATACTGAAAAGGACCTTCAGGCTCATCGAGTCCAGCCTCTTTATTTTACAGGTGAGGAAGCTGAAACCCAGATTTTCGATGTGATTTGGGCACGGTCACACAAGCAGTAAGGGACTGAACTGGGATTGGAATTCAGGTCCTTTAACTCCATGTTCAGCACTGTTTTTTCATGGAAGTAGCTAGGTGGTGCATCTGATTGATGGTGGTGATGTGAGTGTGCTGGGCTTGGAGTCAGGAAGACCTGAGTTTAACTTTGGCCTCAGATACATAATAACTGTGTAACTCTGGGCAAGTTACTTTACCTCTGTTTGCCTCAGTTTAAAATGGGGATGATAACAGCACCTACCTCCCACTATGAGGATCAAATAAGGTATTTTTAAAGCACTTAGAGTAGTGCTGGGTAGATAGTAAGTGACTAATAAATGCTTGGCTCTTTCCTTCCATCCTACGTTAGACTAAAATGACTTGCTCAGTGTTATTCAATTAGTGAGGGTCTCAGCTAGGACCTGATCTGGGTCCTAGAA